CATGTCTCACAAGCTACGCAGTGGGTTCCTTTTGTTCTGAATTATCTTTTCAAGAAAACTGTATAACAAATAGCCATTCTCCAGAACAAGGGCCATTTGCTTACACCTTGGGAAATAGTGTCTTCCCCTAGAACAAAGTGGTAGATACTTACTGCCTATTATCAAATATTCAGGGTCCCTGTGCTCAGAGATTCTTCTGAATTGCAATGCCCTGTGTGTATTGTGTCACTTGCTCTGATCATGTTGGAGCTCAGGGAAATGATGCAAGAAAACGTAGGTTCTCTGGATACTGCTCTTGTTGTGGGTAATAATATGGCTTCTGCCAGTGTCTGTGAGACCAGGACAGGCTAACTCATTAGCTTGCAAGTAGGGTGAGATCTCAGACCATCTGGATCATGGGGATTCCCTGATGCAAGACTTAGGGCAAACTGCCTCCCAGCCTACTCTGTTAAGGCCTCTAAAACCTGAGCATTTCAAGTTTATTGAGTCAGTTAGCACTTAATTTAGAAATGTAAAGATTTCATTTCCAATTTGATAATATGCGGTCTGTTCCGTATAGACCATGGAAAATTTCAGATGTTGCCTACCCTTCGAATCTGCAGTTACAGGACAGTTCCAAGTTCTATGTGAGATGTTTTAGTGCCACCTACAGGCTACCTTTTAATGAGGCTCTCTGAATTGCAGAGATGATCTACTCCCACATCCTCAGTAGGATGGAGGGACCTCTGCAAAGAAGGCATGAATCTCATAAATATACCATACAGCAAAAGAAGCAAGAAGGAAAATGTATATATTGTACAATTTACAGAAAGTACAAAACCAGATGAAACTAATTCTATCAGAGTTTCCAAAGAAACAGAACCATAGAATATATTCCTTAAAATAAATCTCTTTTATATAAAATAGTAATATATATCATAATTTATACAACAATTTATATAAAGTAAGTCCCTATATATGCAGGGAGACAAGAGGGAGAATGTCAATATATGTTTGTATTTACATATAGAGTTGCCCCTTTGAACAGTGCAGGAGTTAGAGGCACTGGCCCCTGTGAAGATGAAAATTTATGTATAACTTTTGTCTCCCCCAAAACTTATCTATTAATAGCATACTGTTGACCAGAAGCCTTATCGATAACATAAAGTTAATTAACACATATTTTGTATATGTATTATATACTTGTATTCTTACAATAAAGGTAGAGAAAAGAAAAGGCTTTTTCAAATTGTCACAGGTCTCCAAAAATATGTTCAATATATTTATTGAAAAAAGTCTGCATGTACGTGGGCCCATGTAGTTCAAACCTATATTGTTCAAAGGTCATCTGTACATTTTAAGAGATCTATGTTAAGGAACTGGCCCTGGCTCCTGCTTTGTTCTTAAGACTTTCAACTGAATGGATGAAGTCAATCCACCTTATCAAGGATAATCTTCTTTACTTAAAGTGAACTGATTACAGATGTCAATCACATGTGGTACAAAATATCTTCATAGCAACATGAAGACTCGTATTTCACTAATGTAGGCACTATAGCTTAGCAAAATTGACACATAAAATTAAATACTAGTGATTAATCCTTTGTCACTTGGCACCTATACATATCTCCTTAAACCATATAAAGATAATACCAAATTCATAATTCCACCTAGCATGATAGAACTCTCCTGTGTACAACTTAAAAACACACTCTAACCCTTTTCTCAGGAGAGGCTGCAAAGTCCTTGAGGGATGTTTACTATTCTACTTGATGTCCCATGACTTAAATATCATGATGTATAATTAACAATACTTAAGTTCTATAATGTACAGTTAATACAGCTTATGTCATATAATAAGGGACTAAGAGGGAAAGAAGACAATGGTATTTGATACACACACACACACACACACACACACACACACACACATATTTGTAACCAAATAAGGAAGAAATACTCATAACAGTTACTGTCCTCATTTCTGCAGCTGGTCATGTGGTCATAGCTGTTACTTGTAACTACATTCTTACTACCTATCATGTATTTCCTTTGCCTTTAGCAAGCATCTCCTCTTGATCATCAAGGTCATGATTCCTTGCCTGGTGGGGTGACCAAAACCTTCATTCCTGCCCTTAGTGGTTCTGCCTGGGTTGGATTGTTGACGTTTTCCATTGACCTTGATGACAAGGCATGGAATACTAAGAGACAGCCAAGGCATCTCCAGTATTGCACTTTTCAGCACCTCCACTGTGGAGTTTCCTCTTGGTAGTCAGAACCATTCACTTTAGTCAGCACAACATGCCTTTCTTTGCCTGCTGACTCAGAGACAAGAGGAGCCCAAAAAAGTGGTTGGGCGGCAGTCTTAACTTCCAGTTCAGTGGAATCACCGTTGTGTCTCTGGGTGGAAGGAAGCATTCTTTCCTTTGAAGCTTGATTCCTGGTTATGGAATCATATATTGAACACTGATTCAGAGCAAATACAGCCTCCTGGAGAACTATGTCCCTATCCTGCAAGGTATTGCTACCCAGCTGGCACTGTAACTGAGTCTTTGAAAGGCCATTCCACCATTTTATAATGACTGCTATTTTAGGATGTTGGGAAACATAAGACTAGCTAATTCCATAAGAATAGGCACGTTGCCAGTGACTGTGAAGGGGTATATGGGGGGGGACTTGGTGAAGGGGGGAACCTAGTAAACATAATGTTCTTTCTGTAACTGTAGATTAATGATACCAAAATAAAAAAAATTAAAAAAAAGAATGAGTACCTGCAAAAAAAAAAAAAAAGAATAGGCACGTTGCCACACTTCATTTGCTGCTAAGTGAATTCCTTGATCAGGAAGCCAGATGAAACACACCTTACCCTTCATCTTAAAAGAGATATCTTCACGTGCCCCACACCACTGGACCCCTAGAAATTTCACGGAGGTGAAGGCCACTGAATTAATGTCAGATTTATTTCCTACTCTCTAACACACAAATGTCTTACCAGTAAGTTTAGAGTAGTTGCTACTTTTTGCTCCCTAGGTCCAATCAGCATAATGCCATGAATGTAATGGACCAGTGTGATATCTTGTGAAAGAGAAAGGCAATCAAGATTCCTGTGAACAAATAGGGATAAAGAGTTAATATAATCCTGAGGTAGGGCAGTGAAAATGTATTGCTGGCCTTCCCAGGTAAAAGCCAACTGCTTCTGGTGGTCTTTGACAGGTAAAGAGAAAAAAGCAATTGTCAGATCAATAGCTGCATATCAGGTACCAGGGGATGTGTTAATTTGCTCAAGCCATGAAACCACATCTAGTATTGCAGCTGCAATTGGAGCCACTGCCACATTGGGGGTTAAGGCTTCTACATATGAATTTTGGGAACTCAATGAGACTGTATGTGGAGGAAGGGCCTGTAGGGAGGTACTTAAGATTAAATGAAGTTAAAGGGTGGGGCCTATCTTGTAATATTGGTGTCCTCCTGAGAAGAGGATTACAGAAATGTCTCTCTCTCTGATTGTAAATAGAAGAGAAAGATTATGTGAAGACCTGGTGAGAAGGTGGATGTCTGCAAGCTGGGAGAGAGCTCTCACCAGAAATTTAATCTGACAGCACCTCAGTCTGGGACTTTTAGTGTCCAGGACTGTGAAAGAACAAATTTCTGTTTAAGCCACCAGACTGGTATTTTGTTGTGGTGGCCCAAGCCAACTAACACACAGTCAAAGTATATTACTGAAGGCAAACTGCTTCTGTGAAAGTCTTTGTTAACAAATATTGAGGAAAAAGCATTTGCCATATCAACAGCTGCCAATATGGTTATTTGCTCAAACAATAAAACCACATATGTAATGGCAGTTGCAATTGCAGTGACTAACAAGTAAGTTTAGGATAATCCACTGTCATTCTCCAAGAGCCAGTTTCCTACAGAGGCCACATAGATGAGTTGAATGGGGCTGTGGTGGGAATCACCATTCCTATATTCTTCAAGACTTTGAGGGTGGCACTTATCTTGGCAAACTCAGGATATAGTATTGCTTTTCATTTACTGATTTCCTAGGTAGAGGCAGTCTTAGTGGGCATGTATCTGGACTTTCCCACTGTAACAGCCCTTTCTGCACAGGTTGGAGAACCAGTGTGGGGATTCTGCCAGTTGCTGAGTATGTCTACCCTGATTATGCATTCCAGAACTGGGGAAATAAATACAGGATGAGTTTGGGGACTCACAGGACCCACTGTGAGAAGGAGCTGAGCTTAAACTCCTTAGGTCACCTGATCTCCATAACCCTTACTCTGCTTATGAGGTTTTGGGTCTCCTAGAATGGTCAGTTCAGGGCTAGCGTTCAGCTAATGCCTGAAAAGTCTAATTATTTCCTTTTCCCCAAAGCATAAACACTATGGTAAAAAGCCTTTGGTTCCTGAGGAAAGGCTTAGAGGAATATTAACAGTATGTATTTTTGACAGTGTAGCAGGGTCCTTTACGGGGATCTGGTCTTTTACTTAAGGGTTTTCGGGTCTGTAAACTGGGTCAAGTGTGGAATTGACTGCAAGGCTGTGACTCTCTGTTTTTATGATGCAAATTAGTTTCCACATGGGGAATTTTCTAATTTTGAGTTTTTATCACCCCCAAGCCTGTTTTACCTGTGAAATCTTTATGACCATTTTGACCACTTCCTATCCTTTCATCCTTCGAAGTCCTTACCCCCTCACTTCCTCGCTCCCAACCTCACTCCGTCTGTCTTCACTCTCCGGCTGGCCTGGAGCCCGTAGTTACCTATGCAGGGCCTCTCCCGTTTCTTGTCCCAGCAAAATTGTCTTCACTCGCTCAGAGCGCTCGACCCGTGTCTCGTAAACACCGACCCAAACTGACACAGGGTCTATAACTGTAGGAGGGATTTTCAGCTTTCTCTATTTTCCTACCTCGAACAAGGAGGTGCTCTGACTCGCTAGAGAGCAAGGAAGACCCGAGCCGAGGGCACATCGCGGGACTCCGGGAGGAGGCGTAGGCGCCGCCTCGCGGGGCATGACGGGCCGGGGTCCGGGGAGGGGCGAAGCGCGAGCAACACGCGCTGCGCGCACCCCGGCGGCCCCGTCCCGGCGGTCTGCGGTCGGCGCGCCGCTGGGGGCGACCTTCTCGGAGGCAGGAGGGGCCGACGGAGGAGGCGCGGCCGGCGGAAGCCATGTTTGTCGCGCGTAGCATCGCGGCGGACCATAAGGATCTTATCCATGATGTCTCTTTCGACTTCCACGGGCGACGGATGGCGACCTGCTCTAGCGACCAGAGCGTCAAGGTGCGCGTGGAGGCCTCGGGCCGGGCCGAGCCTGGAAGGAGGGGGAGTGGAGCGTGCACGGTCCGCTGTCTGAGCGGAAGGACTGCACAGAGGGCGCGTGGAAAGGGGACTGCTCCCGGGCTTGAGGCACGCCCCCGGGCTTGAGGCTCGCCCCGGGCAAGAGGCCTGGAGCCCAAGAGGAGCGGGCAGCCCCCGCTCGCGGCTGGCTGTCATTTTCGCCCCGTACTGGGGTCACAGCTGCCTCGGGGGTTGCGCTGTGGCGCGCCTGCGTAGAGTGGGCGGGCCGGGAGTCTAGGCCACGTGCGCGCTCTCGCCGCCGGGGACCCCGTGCCCGCGCGGGGGCGGTCGCTGTGGACAAGAACCCTGAGCCCCTCACTGTAGGCTAGGGGCCGTCCGAAGCGTGCGCGCGAGGACTGTGGGCCTAACTCCCCGCTTGTTGAGTGAGCCGACTGCCCTTTAGGGCCTGTAGTGCCGTCCGCTTACGAGGTGTGTGTCCCAGTGACGTCACCTGAGAGGACTGTGGGAACCGACCTTGTTTTGCAATGAAAGAAAATACGAATCCTTTTACATCCAGTGATGTTCTTTGCGTAATGTTCCCTACCTGCTGCTATGGAGGAATTGGAATGTCTGTTGGCGTTCCAGCAAACGTCCATTGGCTCCTCTGACAATCAGAATTTGCACAATCTGAGGATGATATTTGGGCTTTAGGAACCCAGATGTAGGGTAAATGATAATAGACTTGAAGATGAAAGCTGGGGTGTGGATTATTTACATTCTCCACAACTCCAAAATAACTGAAAATCGGAAGGACGGTTTTTAACTCCTCTTTATTCAGTGAAGTTTGATACCAGTGATCCCTCAATACAGTTTTGTAACAACTAGTTTTCCCTTTGAAAAAGTGCCGCCAAGTCCATCAAGTACAGTATTGTAACCCATAAAAGGTATAGGATCACTTAAAATTTTTTTTCCATAGTGGTTAACTAACCGTTTTTAAGTGCATGTTATAGTTCAGTTGCTTTAAGTACAGTATTCACATTGTGCAACCATAATCACTATACAACCTTGGGACTTTTTCCGAAACTCAAACTCTGTACCCACTAACTCCCTCTTCCCCCACACTGCCTCAGGCTTTGGTCACCTCTAATTTTCTTTTGAAAAAAATAAGTTTGACTTCTTGGTACTTCATATAAATGGAATCATACAATATTTGTCGTTTTGTGTATGGGTAATTTCACCATTATGTTTTCAAGATTCATCCATATTTGTAGCATGTATCAGAACTTCATTTTTAAGATTGAATTATATTTTGTTGTATGTATACACCACATTTTGTGAATTAGTTAATGTTTGTTAATTGAATAGGCTATACAATTTTTTTCCTTATCCACTTATTACTAAATCTTTTAGTAAATCTTTCAGTTTGTAGGTTTGGTCTGTCAAAAGCAGTGTTGCATTGAGAATCTTCATTAATTTAGTGTTTTATATATTTTGGATGATTTCCTTAGGCTGTCCAGTAGACAAATTAATGACTATTTTAAAAGCTTTGGCAAATAATTGGCAAATTGCCTTTTTGCAAGTTGTAGTATTTTACAGTCAGTGAGAGTATTGATATGGTAGCACAATTTCCCGTGTCCAGCATTTTTACATTAAAATTTTTTTTTGTAGAATACAGACAACATAAAATTTACCATCTTACCCATTTTTAAGTGTTTAGTTCAGTGGTATTAAGTACATTCACATCTTTTGTGCAACCATTGCTTCCATCCTACAGGTCTTTTTCATTTTGCAAAACTGAAACGCTTGTACCCATAAAATACTCCTTGGCAACCACCAATCCTTACTTTCTATGACTTTTACTGATGTAGGTACTTCATGTAAGTAGAATCATACAATATTTGTCTTTTTTGTGACTTTCTTAAATAACTTAGCAAAATGTCTCTGAGGTTTGTACATGTGGCATGTGTCAGAATTTCCTTTTTAAGGCAGAATATTCCGTTTATGTATTGTATATACACATTTTACTTATTCATCTTTCGATGGACTTTGGGTTGCTTTTGTGTTTAAGCTATTGTGAATAATGCTGCTATGAATGTGGGTGTACATATATCTCTTCAAGACCCTGTTTTCAATTCTTTTGGGTCTATACCCAGAAATAGAATTGCTTGGGTCATATGGTAATTACATGTTTTAGTTTTTTGAGGAGCTCCCATACTGTTCATTACATTTTTTAACAGATTAAAATGCCTTCTAGGTATGGTAATCTATATATTTTTTGTTCATAGTAAGGTTATTTTGCTTTTGCTTGTTACATACATAGTTGATCATCATTATTTGCAAATTCTGTATTTGTGAATTTGCCTGCTCCCTGAAATTTATTTGTAACCCCAAAATCAATACTCACAGTTATTGGCTGATAGGAGCAGAGTGGCAAAACATTGGAGTTGCCTGATATGCGTGTTTGCAGATGAGATGAAATCGGAGGACACTTTTCTTTCTTATTTTGGCATACTGTAAATGAATGTCCTTTCCATTGTCTATTTAGTGCAACATTTTTGTACTTTTAGTCAGTTATTTCACTGCCTAAAATGGTCCCTGCGTGTAGTGCTGAAGTGTTGCCTAGTGTTTCTAAGCGCAAGAAGGTTGTGATGTGCTTTCAAGAGAATATAATGTGTGTGTGTTAGGGTTGCTTCATTCAGGCATGAAGTAGAGTGCTGTTGGCTGTGAGTTCATGTTAATGAATCAATAATACTAAATAAGGCATCTTTGAACAGATACAAACATAAAACAGTTGTGTATTAATGGTTGACAATTGTGAGCAGAGTGCCCTGTGAATCTAACCTTGTATTTCTCCTATGGGCAGTGGTTTAGTATTTGCTAATTTGGTACTCAGAGGAACATTATAGAACATAAGTACTATAAATAACAAGACTTGACTGTAACTGTAATGTCTTTATTACCTATTGGAGCACAGTTTCCTTGACCCCTCCATGCTTAGCTCAGTGTCTGACATCCAAGTTTCTCAATATATATTTGATTGAATGAGTGAATGTTTACTTACAGTTATATTCTATTGTGAATTTCTGTTCACCTCCTTTGTTGTATACTTATTCATTCTCAGTGTTTTTCACATTCGTTTTTAGGAATTCTTTGTATAAAATATCTTTTATTTTCTTATAGGTCTGGGATAAAAGTGAAAGTGGGGATTGGCATTGTACTGCTAGCTGGAAGGTCAGTATTTATTTTTACAGTGACTTAAAAAAATGGAAATGTTTGATAATTACTTGTAAGCATCAGTGACTTATACTATTCAGCTTTGAGAGAATAACAAAATTTATACTTTTCCTAAAAAAGACATTTTACATTTTTCCACTATTAAAGTGATGTATGCTAGAAAAGTTGAAATTAAGAAAATTTGTGATTTCATAGTATTCTAACATAACTTTTTAGTATTCGTTATGGTTTTCTTTACATATATTTAATAGTGATGTTTTGTACAGTTTTATTTCTTGCTTTTTTTAAAAAATGGCTTTACTCAGGAAGAATTTTACATCAATTAAGAGTCATCAATTTTAAATGTACAGTTAATGAATTTTAGAAATTTACATGGCTATGCAGCCATCACCACATCTAGTTTTTAGAGCACTCCCACCAACCAGAAAATTTCTGTTGTCTATTTGGGATCAGTCTGTATTCCCTTGCCAACTGCCAGGCAATTGCTGAACTGTTTTTTATCTCTGTAGTTTTACCTTTTCTAGACATTTCATACATATGGAATTCTACAATGTGGAATTGTTTGTGTCTGGCTACTTTCCCTTAATATTTAAAAAAGAAGTATCGATATACAATCTTATGTTGGTTTCAAATGTACAACACAGTCGTTCAGTATGGGAGTGGTTACCCATATTAAATCCTCACTCCCTCTAGTGCAGTTGCTGTCTATCAATGTAGTAAGATGTTACAGAATCATGAACTATATTCTCCATGCTGTGCTATCATCCTGTGACCAGATTTTATTGTGATAGCAAATTATTGTGCCCCTTTATCCCCTCACTGTTCACGTCCCAACCCAAATAACCCCTCCCGCTTGGTAACCATTAATCCCTTCTTGGTGTCTGTGAGACTACTGATATTTTGTTCCTTCTGTTTTTATACTTCACAAATAAGTGAAATCATATGGTATTTGTCTTTTGCTATGGGGCCTATTAACTGAGCTTAATACTCTCTGGATCCATCCATGTTGTTGAAAATGGCAGGATTTCTTTTCTTTTTATGGCTGAATAATATTCCATTGTGTATATGTACCACATCTTTATCCATTCATCTATGGATGGACACTTAGGTTGCTTCCATATCTTGGCTATTGCAAATAGCTTGGTGATAAACTTAGGGCTGCATATGTCTTTTTGAAACAGGGATTTTGTTTTCTTCAGGTAAATTCCTAGAAGTGGAATTACTAGGTCAAATGGTATTTCTATTTTTAGCATTTTGAGGAACCTCCATATTCCAACAATGGTTTCACCAACTTACATTCTGACCAATAGTGTAGGAGGGTTCCCCTTTCTTGGCATCCTAGCCAGAATTTGTTGTTTCTTGTCTTTTGGATGTTGGCCATCCTAACTGGTGTGAGGTAGTACCTCATTGTGGTTTTGATTTGCATTTACCTGATGATTAGTGATGTGGAGGAACCTTTCATGTGCATGTGGGCCATCTGTATTTCTTCTTTGGAGAAGTGTCTGTTCAGATCCTCCACCCATTTTTAATCGGGTTGCTTGTTTATTGGGTGTTGAGTCATATGAGTTCTTTATATAGTTTGGATGTTAACCTTTTATCAGATGAGTTGTTACAAATATATTCTCCCATACTGTAGGATGCCTTTTTGTTCTACTGATGGTGTCCTTTGCTGTACAGAAGCTTTTAGTTTGATGTAGTCCCATTTGTTAATTTTTTGTTTCCCTTGCCCCTAAGACATGAGTCCAGGAAAAAATTGCTCATGGCTATATTCAAGAGATTTTTGCCTATGTTTTCTTCTAAGAGTTTTATGGTTTCATGACTTACATTCAGGTCTTTGATCCATGTCAAGTTTACTTTTGTATATGGAGTTAGACAGTAATCCAGTTTCATTCTCTTACATAGCTGTCTAGTTTTCCCAGCAACAGTTGTTGAAGAGGCTGTCTTTTCCACATTGTATATCCATGGCTCCTTTATCATATATTAATCGACCATATGTTTGTGGATTTATATCTGGGCTCTCTCTTCTATTCCATTGATCTATGGGTCTCTTCTTGTGCCAATACCAAATTGTTTTGATTACTGTAGCTTTGTAGTAGAGCTTAAAGACAGGGAGTGTATGTTTTTCCTTCTCAGGATTGCTTTGGCTATTTGGGGTCTTTTTTGGTTCCATATGAATTTTAGAACTATTTGTTCTAGTTCATTGAAGAATGCTGTTGGTATTTTGATAGGGATTACATTAAATCTGTAAATTGCTTTGGGCATATGGCCATTTTCACAATATTAATTTTTCCTGTGCATGAGCATGGGATGTATTTCCATTTATTGGTGTCTTCTTTAATTTCTCTCATAAGTGTCTTACAGTTTTCAGAGTAAAGGTCTTTCACCTCCTTGGTTAGTTTTATTCCTAGGTATTTAATTTTTTGATGCAATTGTAAATGGAATTGTTCCCTGATTTCTCTTTCTCCTAGTTCTTTGTTAGTATATAGGAATGTGACACATTTCTGTGTATTAGTTTTGTATCCTGCAACTTTGCTGAATTCAGTTATTAGTTTCAATAGTTTTTTGGTGTAGTTTTTAGGCACTACTATATATAATATGTCATCTGCAAACAGTGACAGTTTAATTTCTTCCTTACCAATTTGGATGCCTTTTATTTCTTCATGTTGTCTGATTGCCATAGCTACGACCTTTAGTACTATGTTGAATAAAAGTGGTGAGAGGGGGCATCCTTGTCCTGTTTCCAATCTTAGAGGAAAAGCTTTCTGCTTTTTGCTATTAAGTATGGTGTTGGCTATGGGTTTGTTGTATATGGCCTTTATCTTGTTGAGGTAGTTACCCTCTATACCCATTTTTTTGAGAGTTTTTATCATGAATGGATATTGAATTTTGTCAAATGCTTTTTCAACATCTATTGAGATGATCATGTGATTTTTGTTTGTTGATGTGGTTTATGATGCTGATTTGATTTTTGAGTATTGAACCATCCTTGTATCCCTGGAATAAATCGCACATGGTCACGATGGGTGATCTTTTTGATGTATTTTTGAATTCTGGTTGCTAATATTTTGTTGAGGATTTTTGCATCTATGTTATCAGGGATGTTGATCTGTAATTTTATTTTTTTGTGATGTCTTTGTCTGGTTTGGTATGAGAGTGATCCTGGCTTCATAGAATTAGTTTGGAAGTAATTCCTTCTCATCTACTTTTTGGAATTCTTTAAGGAGGATGGGTATTAGCTCTTCTTGAAATGTTTGATAAAATTCAGCTGTGAAGCATCAGGACCTGGGATTTTGTTTTTTGGTTATTTTTGTGACCAGTTCAATTTCATTGCTGGTAATTGGTCTGTTCAGATTTTCTGTTTCTTCCTGGGTCAGTCTTGGAAGGTTGTATTTTTCTAGAATGTTGTCCATTTCTTCTAGGTTGTCCAAATTATTGGCATATAAATTTTCATAATATTCTCCAATAATTATTTGTAATTCTATGGTGTCCGTTGTGATAATTCCTTCTTTGTTTCTGATTCTGTTTATGTATGTACACTCTCTTTGTTTCTTGATAAGTCTGGCTAGGGGTTTATCTGTTTTGTTTATTTTCTGAAAGAATCAGTTCCTGGTTTCATTTATTTATTTTTATTGTTTTAGTCTTCTCTATTTTATTTATTTCTGCTCTGTTCTTTATTATGTCCCTTCTACTGACTTGAGCATCATTTACTCTTCTTTTTCTAGCTTTTTTAATTGTGAGTTTAGACTGTCTCTTGGGATTGTTCTTGTCTCTTGAGGTAAGTCTGTATTGCTGTGTACTTCCCTCTTAGAACTGCCTTGACTGCATTCCACAGGTTTTGGGCTGTTGAGTTTTTGTTTTCGTTTGTCTACGTGTATTATGTGATTTCTATTTTAATTTGGTCATTAATCAACTGATTATTCAGAAGCATGTTTTTTAGCCTCCATGTGTTTGTAGGCTTTTTTGTTTTCTTTGTGTAATTTATTTCTAGTTTTGTACCTTTTTGGACTGAGAAGCTGGTTGGTAGAATTTCAATCTTTTTGAATTTATTGAGGCTCTTTTTGTGGCCTAGTATGTGATCTCTTCTGGAAAATGTTCCAAGTACACTTTATAAGGATGTGTGTCCTGCTGCTTTTAGATGGAATGTTCTGTAGATATCCATTAAGTTCAGCTGATCTAATATATTGTTCACTATTTCCTTATTTTCTGTTGAGTATAAGAGTTTTAGACATACAGAAACATGAAACAAATTTTGGAAATGTAATTGGTGGACTGATACTTGTCATCTAGTATTTTTACTGAAAAATACAGATGAAATTCTGTTGATGTAAAATGATATAAGACCTTTTTATCCTTTTATTTCCTTGTTAACATGAAGAATTGAAGAATAATATGTAAAGTTTTCATATATAAAGGTAATATTACGGAGATTAAAATTATTTTCTCAGAATACAAGGATTTGAGCTTCTGTATATTTGCTCACTCATAGCCTCTTTTCCTAGAATAGTCTAGCCAGACATTGGTTAGAATCATTTAAGCATTCTGTTGCTACATTTTCTATGTACTGTTAGGCTAGTTGCTTTGTTAGGCTTTTGAACCAAATAATTTTGATGAATTCTATTTATTTTAGTAGGTAGATATTTCTTGTAGAGAGAATTTGGAAGTAAAACAAGTAGTGGGTTGGTAGAACCTCTGTTTAAAAGCTTGGCTATGCTAAACCTGAAGCAAGTCTGTAACTATTAGCACTGGAAGAGCTCAACTTTATCAGGCTGGAGTTTTCTGCTTTGGTATAGTTGACCCTTGAACAAGATAGATTTGAACTATGTGAGCCCGTTTATATGCAGATTTTTTTTCAATAAATATATTGGAAAATTTTTTGGAGATTTGTTGAAAATTTGAAAAAAAGTTTCTTTTCTCTAGCTTGCTTTATTGTAAATACAGTATATAGTACAGATAGGAAATATGTGTTGATGAACTGTTAAGTTATTGGTAAGGCGTCTGGTCAACAATAGGTTATTAGTAGTGCAGTTTTGGGGGAGTTAAAATTTATGTATAGATTTTTGACTACACATCGGTCAGTGCCCCTAATCCCATGTTGTTCATTGGTGAACTGTAAAATGTTAGAACTTGACTCCTGAGGGACTTTAATCCTAAATAAGAATATTTTCTAAAAGTTGAAGTTCTATGACTACGGATTCCACAGATATTGAAAAGATGGGGGAATATTGTGAACGCTACAGTTCATTTGACTTTTAGATGAAATGGAGAAATTTGTTAAAAGATGCAATATGCCACAGCTCACTCAAGAAGAAATAGACAACCTGCAGAGACTGCTATTTTAAAAATTGGATTTGTAGTTAAACACCTTCCTGCAAAGAAAACTGCAGCCTAGATGGCTTCATCAGTGTTTGAATTGTTCCAAATATTTCAATAAAAAAATAATACCAAAAAAAAAAGTTAAAGTTCTAGAATTGAACTTTTTAATTAGATGTTAAGTAGATCAGTTTCTTCCTCTTACTGAAAACTAAAAATACCTCTATTCTATTTACTCAGGTAAAACCTTAAATGTGTGAAATTATGAGTAAACTTAATTTTTTTTTTTTTAACTCCTCAGACACATAGTGGATCTGTGTGGCGTGTGACATGGGCCCATCCTGAATTTGGACAGGTTTTGGCTTCCTGTTCTTTTGACCGAACAGCTGCTGTATGGGAAGAAATAGTAGGAGAATCAAATGATAAACTTCGAGGACAGAGTCATTGGGTGAGACATTTGTTAGTTTTGGGGGAGTTTGGGGGGTGATGTGTGGGTGGGTGGCGCATGAGCATCCAAAGAGCATTTATCAGTCTTTCCAAGAAGATTTCAGGCACCTGGTAAGATGTTAACACTCCCCCTCTATGTTTGCCAGTTTCTTTTTCCATGTTTTTCTCCTACTTGTTTATTTAACTTTGTTGTGGGCGTGGAATGGTATTGTTTGATTGTAAATTTTATAAATCCAAAGTATTTGCTTTGTCAAAGTGTACCCTCTAAAATCCTTAAAAAATTTTTTCTCTTTTGCAGTTACCTTTGCTTTCTTACAGAATATACTGTGCTTTATCTGCCTTTACTTTAAGTCTAGCTCTTCCCTGATCAGATGTTTGAATTTAGGCAAGAACATAATTTGTGTGTTGTTCAGGTTTCTCCTGTACAAAATGTGAGAGAATTGAACTAGATTATCTTTAAGACTCATTCCAGTGTTTTTTTTTCCCCCTATTTTTCTTAATAGATAATCAGGCACAAGTTATAAAATTCAAAAGGTACAAACAAGTGTATATAGTGAGAGCTTCCTCCTCTTTTCTGGCCATACACTTCCCTCCCTAGAGGCAACCACTATTACAGATTCTTGGTGTGTACTGGATGTATTCCATGCCTTTCCAAGGACATAAATACAATGTTTTCTTCTCTATTCCTGCAAGTCTTCCCCATCTCCACACTAATGCTTGCATGCTGTCAGTACTATTCTTTTTTGCTGCTACATTTTTCTTATTGTAGTAAAATATACATAATATTTATCTTAACTATTTGTAAGTGTACAATTCAGTGGCATTAATTACATTCATAGTGCTGGGTACCCATCACCAATATCTATACCAAAACTTTTCATCATTCCCTATATAAACTGCATACCATGAAATAGTACCTTCATTTCCCCCTCCACCAGCCCGTTAACCTCCATCTACTTTCTGTCTCTATGAATTTGAGTACTCCAGGTACCTGATATAAGTGGAATCATACAATATTTGTCCTTTTATGTCTGTTTTATTTCACTAAGCAAAATGTTTTCAAGGTCTGTTCACATTTTAGCATACATCCACTTCTTTCTTCTTAGAACCAAATAGTACTGCATTGTGTATATGTGCCACATTTTGTTTATCCATTCATCTGTGGATGGACAATTGGGTTGTTTCCACCTTTTAGTCATTGTAAATAATGCTACTCTGAGCACTGGTGTATAGACAACTCTTTGAGACCTTGCATTCAACTTTTTTAGATATACTAGGAGTGGAATTGCTAGCTCTTTTGGTAGTTCTATGTTTAAACTGTTTTCCAGAGTGGCTGCACCATTTTACATTCCTACCAGCAGTACATGAAGGTTCTAATTTCTCCACATTATCACGAATGTCTGTTACTTAACTTTATCAATAGTGGCTATCCTAGTGGATGTGAAGTGGTAGCTCCTTATGGTTTTGATTTGCATTCCTTTATGGTTAATAACATTGCACATCATTTTATGTGCTAATTGGTCATTTGTATATTTTCTTGTGATATTATGACTTACAACAAATATATGTATTTCTCATATATTTGGTCTTCATCCACAGTTTCTGACTCACAGGTCCCAAAACTGTAGGAATTTCTTAAGTGTTGAGCATGATAAAGTTCTCTTATTATGTTACTTTATGTTAATGAGGTGACTTTGGTAAGCACCAAAGGATGGGGGCTGGTTGCCAGTGGAGCCAACCATGAGATGAGAGGGCTGGAACTTTAGTCCTACTCCCCAACCTCCAGGGAAGGGCTGGAGGTTGAATCAGTCGCCAGGGGCCAGTGAGTTAATAAGCCACGCCTATGTAATGACACCTCCAGGAAAACCTAAAAGGATGGGGTTCAGAGAGCTTCCAGGTTGGTGAACCTGTGGAGATCTGGGGAGAGTGGCTAGCCTGGAGAGGACATAGAAGCTTCTTGCTTTTTTCCCATTCCTGGCCCTATGTATCTCTCCCATCTGGCTGTTCTTGAATGATTGCCTTTTATAATAAATTGGTACTCTGGAAAGTAAAATTTTTCTCTGAGTTCTATGAGCAGCTCTAGCCAATTAATCAGTTCTGAGTAGGGAATCTTGGGAACTGAGTATAAGCCAGTTAGTGAGAAGCAAGGTCTGAAGTTGGGGTTGGGATGGTGGTCTTATAGGAGTAAACACTTAAACCTGTGGAATCTGATGCTGTGTCCAGGTAGTGTCAGAATTGAGTTAAATTGTTCTCTAATACTTTGCTGGTGACTGAGAATTGTTTATTGGTATGGGGGATTTTCCCTCCCCTGCTGCAAAATTGGAATTGTTATCAGAACCCTTTTACTTCTTTAGGGGAATGTCTATTTAAGTTCTTTGCTCGTTATTTTTAGTTGGGTTTTTTGTTTTTGCTGAATTGTAGGAGTTCTTTATACATTCTGGATATTGATCTTTTATTGGATAAATTATTTGCAAATATTTTCTCCCATTCTGTGAGTCCCCTTTTCATTCTCTTGATAGTGTCCTTTCATGCACAAGTTCATGAAGTCCAGTTTATTTTTTTCTTTTGTTTCTTGTATTTTTGGTGTCAGTTACAAAATCATTGCCAAGTTCAGTGTCATGAAGACTTTCCCCAAAGTTTTCTTTTAAGAGTATTATACTTTTAGTGCTTACATTTAGGTCTTTGAATCATTTTGAGTTAATTTTTGCATATGGTATAAGGTAAATGCCCAATTTCATTCTTTTGCTTATCGATACCCAGTTTTCCCAGAACCTTTTATTGAAAAGACTGTCCTTACCCCACTGAATGGTCTTGGTACTCTCGTTGAATATCTACTGACCATATACGGAGAGTGCTCTTTTCTATTCCATTGGTCTATAATTCTTTCCTTATGCCAACACCATTCTGTTTTAATTACTGTAGGTTTGTAGCTTGCCTGCTATTCATATTGTTTTACTTTTTTTTTTATGATGGGAGGGGTTTATCTTTTTACACTCTACACTAGGGTCTGCTTAAGGGGAGGAGAGAAGGGAAGTTTATAAAGTAGAGGGATTTTTCTAGCAGTAAATTGAATGCTATGTTGGAATTCTGTAATTATCACAGTGCCAGCTTTGTACCATTCTATTGGTCTCCACTAAACACCTTCTTATAAAAAGTGGATAGTGATGGTTCAAGTAGGGTTTACTGACATTTATGCCTAGGCAAAGAAGTTGCATACCTTCCATTTCACTGTTAAGAATCTCAATTCATTCAATTTATTGCTTGAAGCATACTTTACATGACAGAATTATGTATATGAAAATGCTCGGATTTAGTGGTTTAGTGACTAGTCTGCTCAAGAGAGAGTACTTACGTACTTTAATAAAGTTAGACTTTCTAAGGTTGACTTTATTCTGTCTTAAAGAGAGTAATTAATTATAGGTTGCTAATTTGTTACTATTAGCCAGCTGTGTATGTGGTATTTTTGTCAAGTGCTTTAGAGGAAATTGAGGCTTAGGCATGTTGTAAATAGCTTATTCAAGGTTATACACCTAATACATGGCAGAGTTCTATGTGGTTTCAGAGCCTATGTATTTTGCACACTACAAATCTTTCTTTATGTATATAATTTATAATGTTAAGTTTTTCTTTTTCAGGTTAAGAGGACAACTCTAGTGGATAGCAGAACATCCGTTACTGATGTGAAATTTGCTCCTAAGCATATGGGTCTTATGTTAGCAACCTGTTCAGCAGATGGTATAGTAAGAATATATGAGGCACCAGATGTCATGAATCTCAGCCAGTGGTCTCTGCAGCATGAGATCTCATGTAAGCTAAGCTGTAGTTGCATTTCTTGGAACCCATCAAGGTAAGCTTATACAGCAAACCTCTGGTAACATAATCCTGGTAAAAATGGTAATTTTTAAGCTAAGCATTTGATGGTTTTGTTTCTTAAAACCGTTTGTCATAGTCGCTATTTAAAAAAATATATATATTATGTAAACCCTGTCATGTCTGTTGCTCCCCTATTTCCTTACCCAACAGAAGGAGCCAACCATTGTAAATATTTTGGTGTGTACCTTCTTGGCTTTTTCCATTAATATCCAAATAAATATTTAATGCATTATAATAATGCATAAATTATGCAAGTAAATACAATGCATAAATATATGCAAATACACAAATATGCTGTCACATGCAGGTAGACACAAAACACACAGACATGCATAGACATATGTTTTCCTTCCTTGCAATTTGCCTTTCATACTTAAAAATAACATTGTGGGCATTTTCCTGTGTATTAGTGTATCTACTCCTACTTTATTCCTTTACCTGATGTATAGAGTGGGACTTAGTACTATTCCATAGTTGCTTTTATTAAACTTTTTTTTTATATCATTAATGTACAATTACTTGAACAATATTATGGTTACTAGACTCCCCCTATTATCAAGTCCCCCCCACATACCCCATTACAGTCACTGTCCATCAGCATAGTAAGATGCTATAGAATCATTACTTGTCTTCTCTGTACATACTGCCTTTCCCATGTCTCCCTCCCCACTACATTATGTGTACTAATAGTAATGCCCTTTTTTCCCCTTATCCCTCCCTTCCCACCTATCCTCCCCAGTCCCTTTCCCTTTCCCTTTCCCTTTGGTAACTGTTAGTCCATTCTTGGATTCTGTGAGTCTGCTGCTGTTTTGTTCCTTCAGTTTTTTCTTTGTTCTTATACTCTACAGATGAGTGAAATTATTTGATAAAAACTATTTTTTAAAAAGAATGGTGAATCACTTGGTAAAGAAAAGAATTCAAATAGTCTAGACGAGTATACAATGAAGAACAAAAGTTCCCCTATCCCCTAAAAACAAATACTGTTAATAGTTCTGTTTTTAGGTTTTATTTATAGTAATCACTACTATATTTTTAAACAATTTACTTATACCTCTGGTTCTTGCTTCGTTACCTTTACTTTACCTTTGTTATCTGTACTCTCTCTATGAGGGATGAATTTAGCACATTTACAAAGCTTTCCACTTCTGAAGGTATGACTAGTTAGATACCTTATTTGCAGAAATGTTGATAGTTGTTCTAGTTATAATGGTGATTATAATTTTGAGTGATATATTTCTCTACTTAGTGATTTATCAACTTTTATAGACTATACGTGGACTCATATCTCTTTTAAAAAAAATTAGCTTATTTTGCTTTTACCTCACATCTACCCCTCCATTTCCTAATATTTTGTTATATTGCTTATATACTGGTGAGATTTACAACATTTACATTTACATTCTGTAAACATTTAATATATATGTATATTTTGTCTTTTGACTACAAGTTGACTGTAAACATTGAGTAGCAAGGAAATTTACAGTATTAGATTATGTGAATATTCATTATAGATGCAAATGCAAGCTTTTTCTTGAAAATTGTTATTCATGCAGAATAATCTGGTGTCAACTTCTGATATGCTTTTTTTTTTCATGATTACTTCTGGGTTACACTTAGCTCTCACATTTTCATATCATGTGTTGTCTAGATTTATTGTCATTTTGGTGGCACAGCTCTTAGCTCTTAATTTTCTCCCGTACTAGATGGATGGCAATGTCTTTGAATTTTAGCATACCTGAAAATATCTTAATTTTAACTCACCTTAATTGTAGTTTGGCTAGTTTTAGAGTTCTAAGTTCAAAATGTAAAAATATCAAAGATACTATTTCTTGCATCTTTAACTTCAGGTGTTAATGAGAAGCCCGAGGTTAGTCTGATGTGGTTCTTTTGTAGGTGGCCTGTTCTTTTTGGAAGTTTTTAGCATTTTGTCTTACTACTTTGAGCTCTGTTGCAAGTACATTATCTTAGCTTGTGTTTTGTCATTTTGACACACTCGTGACATTTCATAGTAAACAGAAGGTTCTGAATTTTAATGTAGCCATATTTATCACTTTCCTTTATTGTCATAGTGCTTTTTTGTGTCTTATTTGAGAAATTCTTCCCCACATTGAGTTTGTCATGTGTATTCTGGAATCACATTTAGGTCATTAAACCTCTTGGATTTAAATGCTTTGTATGATTTGAGATAATAGAATTCTAAAATTTAACCAGAATTTTTCTAGGTGTTTTTTCTTTTAAAACATCTTCTTTATTAGGGAAAATTTCAGATATACCAAAACTAGTAACAGAAGTATAATACATAGACCCTCACATGTCCCTCACTCAGCTAAAATATCTTAAAGCTCTTCTTGTTTAATCTATATGTCTTCCCTCTCAGCTTCTCCCCACCCCTCAAAAAAAGAAAAACTGGATTATTTTGAAGTAAATCCAGACATATATTATGAGGTGTTGGTGTTTGAAAATTCATCCTGCTTGACCCTGAGTGGTCCCTTTCAAAATAAAGGTTATTATCTCAAATCAGGGTATCTTACCATTCTTTGAAAATTTATCTTCTGTTGTCTCTATTCTGTCTTTTTGGAAAACTCATCTTTTTTTTATTAAGGTATTTATTGATACACACTCTTATGAAGGTTTCACATGAAAAAGCAATGTGGTTACTACATTCACCCATATTATCGTGTTTCCCCCATACCCCATTGCAGTCTCTGCCCATCAGTGTAGTAAGATGCCACAGAGTCACTATTTGCCTTCTCTGTGCTACACTGTCTTCCCCCTGATTCCTCCCACACCTTGTTTGCCAATCATGATACTCCTCAGTCCCCTTCTCCCTCCCTCCCCACTTGCCCTCCTCTTTGGTAACCGCTAGTCCCTTCTTGGAATCTGTGAGTCTGTTGCTGTTTTGTTCCTTCAGTTTTGCTTCAGTTACACTCCACAAATGAGGGCAATCATTTGGTACTTGTCTTTCTCTGCCTGGTTTATTTCACTGAGCATAATATCCTCCAGCTCCATCCATGTTGTTGCAAATGGTAGGATTTGTGGAAAACCCATTTTTTATTATTCCTGGATTTATTCTCCATGTCCTTAAAATTGTTTGGAGATTTACTACTCTCTTCCAGATGTCCAGCTTGTTCTCCAGGTATACATTTTGTACCATCCATAGATTTTGGGAGTTGGCGGGGGGCGGTGGTGGTGGTGGTGGTGGTAATCTTTTTAATTGTTAAGTCTTTCACTGAGTTAGCTTACACTGACTGAACCATTGCTCCTTGGGGAAATACAGGATGAGGTTCCCACAAACCTTTGATCACATTTTTGTCAACTGATCAATACTTAACTCTGTTTTATGTGTGTTTCTATTTAAGACACTTTATTTAGCATATTGTTAGTTCATTAACATTGAACTCTGCCAACAGCATTAAAACTTACGCCTGAATGGAGCTTTTATCTAACATGGGTATTTTCTCCAGAATGCACATCACAGCCTTCTTGCTAAGCTTAGAAACACTGAACAGCACTTCAGCAGTACACTTGGGGGCCAATTAAACAGCAAAATCACCAACATAGAGCACAAATATGCAGAAAATGTGGTAGAGTGCAAAACAAACACTTGTTTTCAGTATAAGAGGTGAAACAAGAAGGCAGAGCAGGGTGGAACATGTGCATCAGGTGACTCAAAGTTTTTGTAGAGTTGCTCTAGGCATGTCTGTGAATGACCATGAAAGCCCCAAGTATTGAATTTTGGGGGTTATAAATACATTTTAGAAAGTAGGTCAATTTATAAATACAGAATCTGCAAACGATGAAGATCTGCTTTACCTATTTTCTTCAGAAGACCTGTTTGTATAGCTTGGTGTTTATCTTTCATACTCCTTGTTTTCCTTGTTTGTATTAGTCTTTGCATATCTATTTGTGTTTATGACTAAGAGACTTACAGCCAGTAGAGAAAACTGATATTAGTATTTTTCTCCTGTTAGGTGCTCTGTTAACAGCTCAGTCTCATACTAGGGGCTTGGCTGAGTTTCATCTAAGTAGGTGGAGTGGTTTGGCAGGATTTCCTTGTGAGGAATATAGATCACTACAAGAGAACTGGCAGGCTGGGGTACCCCCAAATTGCCAAAGTCAGGAGAACTTGACTTGGGGATGTATTTTGTTCCTTCTTGTCCCTCTCTCTGCCAGTTTTGGTATACTACTGTATTTTATTTCAAGTTCTCACAGCTCTACTTTTATCTTCTAATCATCTCGCTAGGATCCCTCCTCAGACTTCTGTAGCCCAGAGCAGAGTCAGCTGCCTTCCATGGGGCCTTCTGATTGCAGTTCGCTAAATGAGTCACTTCATGATTGCCCCATAACTCATTCCTACTCTCTGTATTTACTGGAGGTTGGAGCTTTTGGAATTTCTCCTTAATGATAGTAGTATGGGGATCTGCTTTTTCCCATTACATGTTCTCTCTCTGATCTGCTGCCTGTCTGACTGTAATTCCTCCAAATTTCTTGATTTCTGATGGCACACTCTGATTTATAGCACTGTCACAGTGTTTTTCTTTCATCACTTCCATGGAACCTTAGGAGAAAAGGAAGTACAGTTAATCAGTCTACTATATTCAGTCAGGATTTGGATGATTTTTCTCACCGTTTAGTTGTGAGTCATTTTGGATAACAGCTTGAATGCAAACATCTTATTTCTGGATGTACAAATGGGATGATCCTCGATTCATGTTGTTATCTGGACCCTTTACAATTTGATTTTAAAGTGATTTTTTAAATAATTGTGGTTTTAGTAGTTTTAGAATATGTTAGAATAAATATACTTTTGGTCCTTACTCAAATATTTAATACTGTAAAAAAAAAGTTATATTTGTAGAACATTTGAAAAAGAAAGTTTTTGAGATGTAGAAATGACTGTGGAATTTACACCTCTTTGGCCAAGAATAACTATGAATAACCTGTAATTTTATTTTATTGCTGGAACACTTTGTAGTTATCTGGTATTTTTCTTATCTTAGGTAATGTGGTCTTATTATCATAAGTTTTACTAATAAAGCTTTAGAAATAAAAAATTAAGGCTTTTTTTTAATTACCACATTTTGTTTTCAACTTTATGAGTTTGGCAGATCACAATGTCAAGGTCAAAGGTTAAGCAAGAGTGTCAGATTCATAGAGGTATTACATAATCTGGATGTAGAAGGCAAAGGAAATCAATTTCTAGGTCCTTAGGCATCAAAGGAAAAACATTTAGCCTGGAGTTCACTTCAGCAGAGTTCATTCTCTTTTGCATATCTTTTGCCTTTTTAAAAATGAAGTTGACCCAGAGGTGAGGCTCAGAACCTCACCCCCCCTGCTTTGAGAGAAATCTTATGCATCCGTGGATGTTTTGCTGCCCTTGTCTAGCGTGGATTAATACTTAGTCCATAGGCACACACCTGATCATCTGATCATCTACATTTGCCCTCTTACAGCACTAAACTATGTTTTCTACCTTTATCTTGCATCTACCTACCACTTCAGCATTTTATTAAAAATAAAAATAATAATAATAATAGAGGGAGAAATGTGGGATCAACATATAAATCAAGTA